GCCAGTTACGGAATTAGGTTGCTTTGCTGAATTAAGTTTCCATCAGTCGTTATTAGTATCGCAGTGGCACTCAGGCGTTCCAGCCGAGACCAAGGCTTCATTGTGCGAGGTGCTGTGTGTAGAAGATAAGGAGGGGCAGTCTCATTCCTGACTATCTTACTGTTGAAATAAACAAGCGAAATGAAGGGGAGAGGGGAATTATTATCCTCATCTCACAGATGGGGTGAAGCTTTCTGTGAGCTTTGTAGTGTGCTGAACGACTCCAGAAATCCAGTGCTCATGTCTTGCCTGAGGTCATGCAAGAAATGCGTGGCAGATCTCAAGTCTCAGTTCAGGGTTGCAGCCTTAACAGCAGTGTGTCAAAAGGTGGTGGGTCAGGAACTCTGCAGGGATCTGCATTTTCTTAGGTCTCATCCAGCACAGAAGAAACTGACTTATTTAACTATCCCTAAATAATTTTGGTGTGGCTGTTCTGGGTTGTCTTCCCCATGTGCACGTGCTATTCCAGGGCAAAAGTGGAAAAACATCTCTGCTTTGAGAGCGGAATATGTGATAAAAAATTGTGTGGTGTACTTTTTTATTCTGTAGCATCTTTGCAGGTCAAGCTCCCTATCTGTTGCCAGGTTAGACCCTTAACAGCAGGCAGGAACCTTCACATGTCTCTGGGAGATCATCTAAAGCCTCCAGGTTTCCCCTTGTGTGTCTGTGCTGATGGGTTAGAACTAACCTGCTGATGTGTCCCTATCACCTATGACTGTGTGGCCCTGGGGAACAACCTGCTGTGAGGACAAGGGACTCTGCTCTCATCCTTTTTTTTTCCACTGAAAATGCTTTCTCATGAAGTCTAGGGCAGGAAGCAACTGCACTCAGCAAATTGGTTTTTTTCCAATACAACCTGTACCCAATATCGGAGCCTAATTCTTCCCTGTCCTTCCTCTCAATTCCTTTTAGGCCTTCCCTAACCAGCACTGACATAATGTGAAAACTTCAGGGTTTTGCCCTCTCTCGGATTCTACTCCGTGGAGGTTAATACAACCTGAAAATAAGCTCTAGTGTAATTCCATGCTAGCTGGGAACACAGCTCTGCTTCCTGCAGGTGTCCCGTGGCTCTGTCTTCATTAGAAAGAGAAAGATGCGTCTCGTGTCCAAATTAAATCCACCCCTGCTCATAGTATTTGTGGGCTCTTGGCACCTGAAGGCTGTCTGGAAGACACAGAGGCACCTCTCTTCTTCTGACAGATGCCTGCGGTTATTGCTTTGCATGTCCCTCATTTGCTAAACAAAACAGCCCAAAGACCAGGATTTTCTTTCCCTGGCAATAAAGGGAAGAAGGTGTGAAGAGGACTGGGGAAGTGCAGGATACAGAGCAGGCTTGGAGAGAGGCAGAAACAATCAGCTCTTTCTTCAGCCACAAAGATTAGTTGAGATTTTACTTTTTGTTATCTGTTTCCTTGATTGACCAACCAGAATGTTTTTCTGATGCGAAGGGAGATGGTGGGAAAGGGGTTGTTTTCAGAGCGGTCAGAACTGGGGAGGATTTGCATGTTTGGAGAGCAAGGCCAGGTGTGTTTGGAGTTGGTGACAGCCACAGCCTGACCTGACAGGTACTGAGCATCCTTGGGTACTCGTGTGGATTCAGGAGCTCCAAGGATCAGGGAAGCCCTTTGCCTGCTCTGTGCAGCAGGCCTGCCCGTGGCTGGTGCCATATTGGGAGTGGAAGGCTCTCCCCCAGCCTGGCGTGGCAAGGTTTGGGTAATGTCAGACCTGCTTCCTTCTCTGCTCCTTCGCCTGCCTATCCAGAGCTTCAGGCAGTGCAGACAAAAGTCCAGGGAACCGTGCAGTGTGCCGCTGTCTGCTCCGAAGCAGAGCCAAGCTGGGTCCCTCCGTCCTCTTCCTCTGGAGACAGCTCTCCCTGGTCAGGGGCTGCAGTGAACGAGGGGCTGTGGGGCTCTGCCTAGTTTTTCCTTTGGGCTGCTGACATCCATAGCCCTAAAGGAAGGGCAGCGTTACCCTGCAGCGCTACTCATTGCTCTGAAAGTGGCACCTTGTTGCTTTAGGGGAAGAAACCGTAGTGCCGTGGTAGAAAACTCTGCAAGTTGATTCCCTCTCCTCTTCCTCCCTTCTCAGGTCACCTCTTGACTCTGTCCGTACTGTGTCGCAGGTGCCTTTGCCAGCTGGTCTCCATCCACAGCCTGTGTTTCTGGAGATACGCTCCCAGCACCTGTGGGAGTGGGTCAGCCCTGGCACCCCTGGGCTGCTTTGGCTGCAGATGTGTTTTTCTGCCTAAGGACATTCCAGTGTGTTTCTCTACTCACTGCCCATCTGTCTAAAGCAGTCCAGGAATCTCCTGGGGATGTGCTCACCAGGCTCCTCATGAACACCCGGGTAAGGCTGACGCTGCCTCCTCCAGTGTAACTGCTCATCAGTAATCTCTGGGCTCAGTAACCACAATGGTGAAAGCAGCTGCCTGCCCCAGAGTCCCGGGGAAATAAGACAGGACTGGCATGATCTGTGCTTTGTTAGGAGGGAGGAGCAGGCTGGAGAAGCACAGCTTTGGGACAGAAGAACCCAGCCACCTGTTGAAGGTTATACCTCCCCTGTACCATGGAAATCAAAGATAGGAATGGAAATCTAATGAATACAGTAGCCCTTGTCCAGCAAGTTCAGAAGAACCAGCTGTCTGATTTGGTTTTGAGTGGTTTTACAGGCAGTCTTACCACAGTGCCGATCAGTGTGTGATAGCACTTCCCTCCAGAATGGCCAAAATTGGGGAGTTTCAGATGAGTTGGACACACCTCTGTCCCCAGGACACAGACAGGGTGCTGGTGTTCCCGTGTGTTTTGGGGCTGGAGGGTATTCGCTCCCGAGCAGTTCAGACTGACATTCTCTTTAAGTAGTTCTGTTTGCAGATTTGTGGAGAACAAGGGGAATAACAAACACGGTTTGCATTTTTAGCAGCAGTTTGAATAAGCAGAAATTACTTTACCTTGAGTAAGGCTTGTGCATGTGTACATGTGTGAGTGTTCACGTGTGTGTGTGTGTACCTGGTGTCCTGGTCAGGACCTGGGGACTGGTTCCCTAAGCCCAGTTCTGTCACAAGTTATACACCTCCCCTGGAGTCCCTGCCCTGACCAGGTTCTGGCACGACCCTGGGAAGGACAGCACAGTTTTAGCGGGGGCTTGGTGACACCGTCTGCTGGGCACACAATCCCATGTCATCTGATGTGGCTGGAGATAGCCACACAGTCCTCTTGCTCTGGAGAGCTGCCTGTGTGAGGCTCTGCACCAATCTGTCTCTGAAGATGAACGTCCCCTTACCCCAGGCTTTGAGCGTTGTTCATGGCTGTTCTGCAGCCAATAGGTCCCTGCTCCCTGAATTTGTCATATTTGTCTAAGTTTGGGAGCCGTGTTCTGCATGTGAATTTCCATCTTTGTTTCCTCTCGAACTGTATGGGGCAATGCTGTAC